GCTGAATTATGTCTCAAGAATCTCTTGGTAACCTTTTGTTGTGTCAATAAATCTTCATTGGCTTATGCAGCTTAACGTTTTCTTCACTGAAAATTCTATTAAGATTTGAATATTTATATTACCTTGAAGCCTACTTTAAAAGAACAATTTTTTTAAATTTTTTTTTAAGTTAAGAAAAATATTTGTTTGTGCATCTGTCAGCAAAAATTAGTTTATTTAATTAGAGGTGATGGATGCCAATTGTGGATGGGCTCAAGGATGTGCCCCTTCAGTCGCGATGCTTAAAATTTTGAATTTATTCATAAATGCTGCATTTCTGAAAAAGAACCACTAATACAATTTGTTATGTATTTTACTTCCATCATCCTGGCTAACACATTGCCTCTGTTTGTCAAGTCTTCTTCAATCTAGCTAGCGTTCTTTTGAGCATGTAATGTCTGTATATTCTTTAATCTTTCTTATGAGAAAGACTCAGCTTAATTTTGATTCTTTTTCATTGTTCTGATAAATATTTTTTTATGCTGTTCCACACTCCACCATGCATACAACTAATAATGCTGGTTTTTCTTTGGGTGACATTTCATAGCTTTGGCGGCATTAGAAGAAAAGGCAAGCCAAGACATTGAAAATAAAGCAGACGCTCAGGATTGTATTTTGTGGTACAATCGGGTTCTTGGTCTTCAGATTGAGGGAGGACATGGTAATTAAACTATTTTTGATATTTGATATTTCATTATCATTTTCTTCCGAGAGTCATTTCAGGATTGCTCTCTGTTTATGTAGGAGTCAGATTCAATTTCACTGATATTAATCCACAAAATCCAAAAGAAGAGTATTTTTTCACAGTTCGCCATGCAAATGATACCTATACCTGTAAGTATTATATTTTTGTTAGTATTAATTTTCTCCATTTTAATACAGTACTATGTTCTAGTAATAGTTATATCTTCAACTTTTCAGTATTGGATTGTGCTCCCCACGTAAATGATATCAAAGAACTGATTCAAGAATTAAATGGTACCAATGGCTTATTCAGATTTGTAAGGATCATGAGAGAGAAGTTTCAGGAAGTTGCAGAACATGGTAAAAAATCTCATCACTTGCATTTGTTTACTCTTTATTCAGCATGCTTTAAAGATGCCATCCAAGCCTCGGAGGCTGTGACAATATCATTATACAGAAAACCAAAATTATCAGCTCAAAGCTAATGAAAGATAAATTGAAGGAAAGAGAACAATCTTCTCTGGTTGAATGCAAACCAATTCCTCTGGAAGTGAGTATTAAATTTCTAGGGTTTTGACTCTTTTCCGGGAACCATGAAATGTCAATAATTTGTATTTCTCTTAAGAAAAAAGACAAACGAACCAGACTTCCAGGAACTGGGTACTTTTATTGCAACAATCTCAAAGCAATTACTAATATAAAGCCCCAAAAGAAAATGATAATACTGCATTCATTTTCCATAAGAAAAGCATTCATTTCCCTGTGTCCCTTGTAGTTGACAGTTGGTATTATGGATATCTGGTTCATCTCAAAGGAGTTTGAAATTTGTTCCTTTACCTACCCAAGTAATTTCTGATAGTACCTGCCAGATAGACTGGTAGTTCGAGACATGACTGGCATGTAACAGTGTCTTGTAACTTTGTGCAGCCATGAATTTACTTATGTTAATTTACTTGTGATAAGATTTATGTTTTGTTTAACTCATATTTTATACTCATCAGGTATACAACCCCAAACAAGAACTACTCAGCAAGACGTTTCAACAATCTCTCTTTCTGCTCCAGTGTTGTCAGTTTCTTCTGACAAAAGTACATCTCCAGCTGAAAGAAGTGAGTGTCAGATTCCATGTGAACCAAATAAGCAACTTAAGATAGTCAACCGTGGAAGAGGAGCAACATCGGCAATTTTATCTCCTGGATCTATATCATCTCTTCAACAATCCCCTCGTTTTAAGGTATGGTCTTATTGACAACATGCTTCATAGTGGCATTTAACTTTGTGCAAATGTACTGAATGGAAAGCATAGCTAGTTACTATTGAAAGTCTCTTTAGAACTTGGTAAAAAGTGAATCAAAATGTTTGTAGTATTTGTTTTACAAATATTTTGAGAGTCATGTCTAGATTTAAGCATTATGTCATCTATCCATGCATCTATATGGGATAATAAAATAGAAAAACTGAGTATGGATAGAATTGGATGATAAGTTGTGCAGGTAGTTCACATGTCAGATCCGTGTTCCTGTTATATTACTAATGGGTTAGGTTATGCTCTTTTAATTTGTAGAGCTCATGGCTTCGTCCAAAATTGCTTCACACATGCACACACGCACTAATGCACCCACATTTGCAGATAACATGTAGATGTAAGTTCAAAATGATGCTTAATCTTGATAAAAAATGATGTATGGTGTTATGCATCACCGAAGGAACACCGTAAAATACATGCTAAAGATTTTTAAAACCTGAAACATGTGGCGGGTTAAGAAATGAAGATGTGTATATGTTTGATGGCGATGTTTCTGCAGCTGGACATATTTGATCCCACTAAGAGTTGACACAGGTGGTGCAAGAATCTGAGTTGTGTATATGTTTGGAAACTAAGCAAAAACTGATTGGAAGATGTAAACCCCACTTAGATGTGACATGAGAATGAAGTAACATTGGATGACATGTAAAGGTGATAACCCCAAGATTCTGCGTTGTTGAACGTTAGTGCTTTTGGTTGTATTGATCTCTTCCTTCCTTGCTGTGTGCAGGCGATGAATATTTATATATTGATCTATTACTTTCTTGCACTCAGTTGATGAATATTTATGTGCATAATTTTTAAAGTTCTTGAAAATGGCTGTTCATTTCTTGAATTTACATGTGTAAATTTGTTATTTTTTGAATCAATTTTGTATTGATAACATATAACAACTACATTCTTGCTGTGGTATGCAATGAATATGATTGTTATAGTTATATAAATAATAATATATTCTTTTATGTGAATAAGATTATTTGAAAATAAAGAAATTTCTGATAAAAATATAAAAAAGTTATCATATTTTAGTTTTTGGTGATTTGCACAATGAATGAATTGTGAGGAAAGAATATGTAATTAAGAGTTTTTATCATGTATAATTTGAGTTTGTAACCAACTAAAAATAAGTCATATAGAAATATTATGATGCTTATATTTTATTTTTATAATTAAAATATTAAAATAGATAATTATTATATATTATCATATTAAATTATTACATTAAATAAATAAATAATTTGCGTTATTTTTATTATAATATATTCAGTTATTTTTATACTATAAAGATAAATAGATAATTATTATATATAATATTATATTTAACATAAAATTACTTTTAAAAAATAAGCAATTTATACTTGTGTTAATTCTCACTAATTCTTATATACATATATATATATATGTATTAATATATTGATTATTTATTGATATTCAAAGTACAAATTTTTCATTATAAAAAAGATGATGTAAAATAGAAATTTTTAGAGAAGAATTTGGATGTGGAAATTATTGGTTGTCCTACTATTGTTTCCTTTCCTCCAAAAATGTGTGTAGTAGTGTCGGTAGAGAATATTTTTTGCTAAATTGTTTAATTATTGTAAATTTTCTAAGCTTAAAACTCAAGAATTTTGCATAAAATCTGTAGGAAAGTAGGATTGAAGCTTACCTGAAGATGGAAATGTCGAGAGAACAAAACCCTAGCTGAGCTCCTTTATTTTTGAATGAAGAAGGAGACTTGCATTAACATCTTTTTGCTATTTATACCACTCTTGAAACCCTAAAGGAAAATGATGTCGTTTATGTAATTATATGTATATATACACATGTGACACATTGTAACAACCCAAATTTTCAAAAGTAAATATGAGTTGTTATCTTTTATTCATTTATCAAAATAAGTAATAACATTTATTTATTTATGTCATAATTATCATTTTCTCAATTAATTTTAACATAATTCAATTATGATATACTATAAAATATTATAGCATTTCTAGAACATTTAAAACTTAAGTAGAGAGATAACATCTTAAAATTTGAAAGATCAAATTTACAAAAACAATGTTTTTTTCTTCCTTTATTCCCTTTACACAAGATTTTACAGTCTCGATGGTCCTTTGGCTTGGTCTTGCTTTCTCTGTTCCAAAATTAAAAAAAATAAGTGAGTCATCAGATGCTCAGTAAAAATAATTTAAAATTTTAATCCAAAAATCAAAGATAATATACTAATTCAACTCATTATCTTTACTCTAAACTTATTAAGCCCTTCACAACAATATGATTCAATACTCATACTACAACTTCGTTGATCTACTAATAAACTATTTTCATTTCTCGTATACTTCAGTTCATTTAAGAGATATCCATAATTGCATAACTTACATTTCCATGATCACTTTTGATTCATTCTCAATCTCATAAAAACAATATCATAATCACATTAGTTTCACATATTTACGTATAAAATATATTTTCTTATACACATATTCACATAACAATAAATTCTCATCATTCATCAACACAACCAACACATATGTACATAAATTCATCATTGTATCATATAATAATATCATTCAATTACAAATCATAAGCGGAAATGATAACTTACACTATCAACATGGACCTAATCATAATTATACATTCACAAGTCATATTTACAATCATAATTACAGTGATAGTTACAGTCATAATTATTGTCATAGTTACAAAACAATACGATGGTCCATGAGATAGAGTTCGTAATATTTCTTCACTGATCCTGGACTGCTCATCTATTCACATTCTCTAATAAGAAAATCTTTACTATTATCCTCGAATACTCTCATTATAATTTCCTTCATACTATATATTTGACATTTCTACTTAATTATCTTTATTTTACTTCTGTGTGAGTCATATTTCTTTATTTTCAAAAGTCTAATTTATTAATTTACAAATTATCGAGCTCATCACTCCAAAATTATTTTAATTTCAAAGATCTCTAGAGAAATTTGATTCTCATGCTAGTTTCCAAAATCTCATGAAATATTTTTATCGTCTTGCAAACCAAGCTATTTTAATAATTTTTCATAATGCTACTTTATATTAATCTTAAACATTCACACTCATTCTATTATCACGTAAACATTTTATGTGTTCTATCATATTTATTTTTGAACTATAACATTTATCATTAATCATTAATATAACTATCGTGAAGTATATTTACCCCTTCTATGTCTTAACAAATCTTTATTTGATTGATTAATTCATCTTCTGGGCTATTAGCCCATTATCCCAAACTTAATTCTCTTAGCCCATTAATTTATTCATCTCACAAGTGGGTGTACATTTTGTTTTGTTAACTCTTGGACCAAAAGCCCAATAAATTGCCCTTACCTAGCCCCATTTAATCTTGATTGATATCCCATTCATATGGAGAAGAAGCCCAATAAGACTTGGCCCAAATAGACTGAGGTTTCCATTATTGTTATTATTATTATTTTCTAATATCTAAATTTCCTCATATTGACCCAAGACCCATCCCATCTTAGCCCAAGTTTTATTTCCTTTTTATTAAACTGACGCACCTTTCTAACCTAATTTGTATAAATTGGCCCACCAGAGTTTTAGATCATTATTCTGGCATTTCCTATGGGCTTGGCCCACCAGGGGTATTAACTTATATATATATTAATCATTTAATTTTTCTCTTCTAATTTGACCCATCAAAAGTTTTTGCTCCCTTTTAAAATCTTTATTATGGGTTTGACCAAGTAATATTTAAACCTTGCCTTTGCTCTTTTTTTTTTTAATTAAGACTAATTAAGACCATCAGAGTTTATTGGGCTTGAGCTCGATTACTGGGAGCTTGGATCTCAGCCCTATTATTTACCTGACTCGACCCACTAATCCAACTAGAGCCTTTATATTATTGTGTGTATATGTATATTATTTTATTTCAACCCTTATAGTTTAGTTCATCAAGAACCATAATCCCTCATCTAGCATTTTCTCTTACGGGCTGACCCACCCATGTATTCTATTTTTTTTTATCTCATATGGTTCAAACTACCGAAGGTATCGAGTCCAGGCCCTACGGACTCATCAACCTGACCCATGGGTCATGCCCTTCGGTCATCTTCTTCCTCCCGCTCTTAAAGTATTCTAAAAACTAAATCACCCTCCATCACATTTGATCACCTTGAGTTAAATGAACACTCACTTGTTTTATGTAATAATATCACAAGAATATACATCTTGATAACAAACTCATAGTACATACACAACAAGGAAATTGAAATCGCTACATTAACTCAGATCTAGGAATTTTAGAGTAATAAACTATTCTTACTTTTCTTGGATCCAAAATAGATGAAGCTCGTGGTATGGATGATCTTTCTTTCACTTGTTGCTGCACAAAATGAACAACAATTTCATGTTACCTCGGTATTTGCCTTAGAACACTAAGGTATCTATAGGTTCAGAAATAAAAATGGGAAATAAATCATCAAAACAGAAAGACCTACCTCTGGATCGATGGTGGTGTACCGCCTGGGTGAGCTCACATGGCTATTCCTCTTACTCTCTCTCTTCTTTACCTGATGGCTCTCCCTCTCTATCTCCTATGATTTTTGCTAATTAATTTTTTTAAAAATCTTTTTCCTATTTATAGCCAAACATATCTAATTTGGATAGTCGAAATCTACAGAGTAAATCCTCATTGTTGATTTAAACTTTAATTCCTGACTGTTCGATTTGTCATGCTTTCCAAGTGGCAAAATCCTGACCATCGAATCATGCACGACTCCCTTTAATGTGCTTTGTATCTATGTCTTCTATCGATTGGTTCTTTAGAACACCTCAATTGCTAAGGTGTTGTATTTCTCAAGAATTCCAGTTTTACCCCACCTCTATTAAAATCTTGATGTAGAACCCGAGGATCAAAGATTACATCCAGAACTCCACACATATATATATATTTTACATAGATAATTTAGAACTCTAAATAAATCATTCCTACCAAACCCATAATTAACGTGTAATTAAGAACTTGGGTGATTGAGATGAAAAAAGCAAGAATGAATAAATACTACAAGATAGCTTGATAAGTTAAGTAAATTCTTGACGCAAAAAGAAGAATAAGAATTCTCACTTGTCAAAGTTCTACTAAATGTAATGAAATTCATTCAATAATCGAAGTATGTCATATTACATTAAATATGAGATATTTATATGCTAAAACACCTAACTTCTGCCAAAGGATCATAATTAGATGACTTAAGAAAATATAAACATAATTTAAATGGCCTAGAGAAACATGATATTAAATGATCTAAAAGAACATGGTATTAAATGACCTAGAAAAATATAGCATTAAACGACTTAGGAAAACATAGTATTAAATAACGTCGGAAAACATGAACATAATTTAATTATATAAAAAATGACCAAAATGATCATAGACATTCATTTTAAATTCTACTCACACATTTGAACGAAATTAATGATATTCTTTGGCTTCTTTGATTCTTTAAGTAACTCACATGTGCTAAGTTCTTGTTGTATCCATTTTTGTACGAAGTCTTAAAATGTATGTTTTAGCTTCTTACCTTGAAATCTTGTGATTGGACAAGTTAACATTGTAATATCTTCTTCATACTTCTCTTTAATGCCTTTTGAAACCATGTTCGTATCAAATCTTTTCATTCAAACATTTTAAAAATTTTACATTATCCAATGTTATCTAGTAAATTTTTGATTAAGTCTCTATGGATCTTTTTCCTTGATTTGTTAAAGTTTCCAAAACTTCTAATTTATTTTAATCAATTTATCCATCACTTTTATTAAACCTTA